CCCCAACCATCTACGCCACGCCCCAACCATCCACGCCACGCCCCAACCATCCACGTTACGCCCCACCCACGCCACGCCCCACCCACCCACGCCCCACCCATCCACGCCACGCCCCACCCACCCTCGCCACGCCCCAACCATCCACGCCACGCCCCACCTAACCAAGCCACTGCCATTACACACCCACCTCCCAAACACCACCAACACACGCCGACCTCTCAACCGCCACCATCACATGCCTACCTCCAAACCACGCCCGACCACCTTCCTACCACCACCCTGCCACCTTACCCACCTCCCCAGCACACCCAGCACACCACCCTACCCACCTCCCCAGCACACCGCCCAGGCTCCCAGCGCAACGCTATCGAACATTAATATCAAACGTCAATAATGAGAATGCGGAAGACCATGCAACAGAAATCTGTCGACATCGGGAAATCAAGCTGTATCTTCCTAGCCTAGTACCCAAGTATGGTAAGGCTATACGTTCATATTAGCATTCTCTGCCAACACTCACAGTCGCTCTCCTGCGTCTATCTCAGAGTAAATACTTCACTATAAAATCTGCGAATTAATGTACGATTCCTAGCGCAACTAGAAGTTCGGAAAGAGATTGCTGCTACTATATCCAGCCACGATAAGACACAGCAGGCTACGGCTTGGCTTGCATTCCAATAGCCCAGGATACAGTCAAGCTTTTATGCGGAATTTTACCGATTTTTCATTTTTCATTCGTATCCGATGACTAATACTATAGGCGGCACATCTGTACATACTTATTTGTCAATAAACGTTTACTCTTCATTAGAGCAGCTAGTATCCGCGCAAAGGCTTGAGTACCCTTAAAGTAAAAGGCTAAAGTACCCTTAAAACAATCATGTGTTGCGACGGTAGGATAACATCCGATGATTTCATCTCATGAGACTGCTGATCGATTCATATGCATGGTATTTAGTCCCAACGGCAAATTATATTCTATAACAGCTATTTTAAAAGTGCGATATCAATTTTGACGTTTTTATAAAGTCCATGTGCGTCACTTTGAGAAGATGTTGACAAAACAGATTGCTGTCAGCGCCACAGTCTGCTGACATGCAGCTATACAGATCACAGGAGACATGAACGAACATCCACACATTCAGTAATTAAGCACCGCACAAATTACATTCCTTAATGAAGCTGGCAACAAATTGTGCCGATAAAACCCTCCTATCAACTTCCTTCGATACTGCGATTTTGTTTTTTTAGCCGGAATTGTTTTATAACGGAGGTGTTTGCCAAACTCGCTAGCGTCAACCACAAAAAACGCATATATAACATACGCCTATTAAAACTGGCGAAATAAAAATGTATTCTACTTATTCTATTTGTACGTATTTACATTTTCCTATATCTGCACGGGTGTATGCTTTTGCCTATATATATATATATATATATATATAAACATGGGTATGCCATGCACAGCCGCTGATGGTTTGCCAGCAGCGAGAGAACACGGCGCTGGCAAATTCCTATGAAGCTGAGTTATGATTTGGCAGACCGGCGCAAATGTAGCTCGCAGCTACGCGCTCTCACGGGAACGACGAAACACCGCATGCACGGCGGGCCAGAAACCGCGCGCGCCAGCTATTTCGTACGTACGCGCCAACGCCATTAAACACACCAGCGGGGGAGAGATATCCGCGAGCATCTCTCTCTCGCTTCGTTGGGTGTTCCCCGCGCCTACTTCGGAATTCCGCTTCTCAGAATCGCTAGAGAGAGAAGTTCGCACATCTGGGGGAATCCTCGTCATCGCGTGAGTGCTTCTGTCGGAATACACGCGGCGAACTCTCACCTGACTAGACCCTGGAAGTAGCAGATGACGCTCCTGGGCATGCGCGACTGCGGCGGCAGCAGGGTTGCTATGACGACCGGGTCGGCGTCGTACAGGCAGCAGACGCCATCATGGCTCATGTCGTCGCGGACGCTGTCAGCGCTCTCTATCCATTCCTCAGCTTCCTTCGCTGTCTGCTCCAGAAGTTGCCTGCAGCAAACGTCTTATATTAGACTTTATGGCTGACCGGAAGACTGAATTTTCATTTTGTCCCTCCATCGTTTCTATTTGTTTAGTTTCATTTGATTTAATTTTATTGGCATTGTCGATGAACTTACTTAATTAATCTGATACCTACAAGATGTAATTCATAAGTGTAAATAAAGTAAATTGAATTGAATTGAATTGAATTGAATTGAATAGACTCTCATTAAGCTATCATCGACTTGGGAGAAAAGTTCTTTTTTCAACTATGTTTTTACGAACACAATTGTGTTGTCAAATGCACATCGAAGCACGGCACCAGATGAGATATACAAGATGTGTGTTGAACAGAGAGCGGGTAGATGAGATATACGAGATGTGTGTTGAACAGAGAGCGGGTAGATGAGATATACGAGATGTGTGTTGAACAGAGAGCGGGTAGATGAGATATACAAGATGCGTGTTGAACAGAGAGCCGGTAGATGAGATATACGAGATGCGTGTTGAACAGAGAGTGAAATCGCCATGATGGCTTCAGTGATGCTGGGATGCTGGGAACATTCATACCTAGCGTCGACAGCCTCGGTTATCAGGTGATGTAATCTGTTTTCGTAGATGTGCACCGGTGAATCAACATCGCCTTTCTGCAGCGACAGGAACTGTTGCACCTTCACGTCATGACTTATGCGTGGATCTAGATTCAGCAAGCGCTGTGGTTCACAAACAACACGATAACAGCGTGTTAACAAGAGCAATCAGAGATAGAAAACCTCCGCCACAGCGTAACAGTCCCCCCATCTTGCTGGTACATCCAATATAGTGTGATTCATTTTTCAGAAATTTGAAAAAAAATCCAGAATTTTTTTAATGAATTTTGAATGAGTCCGAAGTCTTGCCCACAAAAGAAATTTTCAAAAAATCCTGGATCCAGATCTGGATCCGGATCACCACCAAAATCTAATCGATTGGTTGTTGGCCCAAGACCAACCCTTCAAAAAATTTCATCAAAATCCATCTGTAACTTTTTGAGATATTCTGTGTACAGACAAACCAACAAACCAACAAATAAACCAACAAACTAACAGGGGCGAAAACATAACCTCCTTGGCGGAGGTAATTACGACTCATTAGGAAACTTACAAAACAAGCTAATCAACGAAACCAGGAGTTCATACGCAATGCACTTTTATCAATATTATAATCACCTGCCGTTTGCATGCTGTCTGGAAGTTTCGAAATAGAAGCGTTATAAAAAAAAATAGAAGGAGAATGCTACATAGTTCCACAGCGGTACAGATGCGTACATATACGTTTAGGCGAGAAGTTTTTATTTTGTTGGTTTACAGATCCGTCGACCCGAATTTTCAAGAAAAAATAAATAAATAAAAATTGAAAATCTGTATTTTTTTATTCCCGCCGAACTTTTCTCTAAAAAATATGAATAAAAAAATGTAAACTTGCACAAACAGTTTATAATAAAAGTAAAAATAATTAGAAGTTGAGTTTTGTTTTCATTTAGTTTTCTTAAAATACTTTAATATCATGTATAACAGTATCACTGTATTTTGACTTGTTTGATCTGACAAAACGACCTTTTTTTTTTTACCCTACCGAGTCAACAACAACAACAAAAATTCTGTAAACCAACAAAACAAAAAAAGGTGGCCTTAATAAGCTTTAAAGACAATAATTGGACCTTGGGGCGGGCATGTTTAAATGTTTTTATTGGGAAGCGCCTGTCTCTTGAGTAATGGCACCTACCTTCAAATAGTTATTCAGCTCTGGATGAGTAATGGCACCTACCTTCAAATAGTTATTCAGCTCTGGCACCCGACGCATTGCTACATCCCTCACTGCACTCTGTCCTGCGTACATGTTCCCTGTAACGTACATATCTTCTTGTAAAAACAACGACACCGTATTACATAGACAATTACATTGACAACCTCTTCTTAATTCCGTCTCTCCTCGTGGAGAATAGGGCTGGAAATCAAATTTCTCCATGACGTTCTATCTTTGGCGGTTTTTTCGGCCTCGTTCCACGTTTTAAACCCTAATGAAATCCTTTCTTTCTCCACTGCATGTCCTTCTCCATGTTTCTTTGGTCTTCCCGCTTTTTTCTTCCCCTCCGGGACCCATTGCATTGCATTGCACATAGACATGCAACTACATGGACAATTACAACGATAATTTACGACAAAAGTTTACGACGACAATTTACAACAACAATTAATACGACAATTACATAGACAACGACACCGTACTCTTGAAACTACCAGCAAAAAAGACATCTACCTATCTCTTATCTCTACTCATCTCTTATCTCTATCTATCTCTTATCTTTATCTCTTATCTCTATCTATCTCTTATCTCTATCTATCTCTTATCTTTATCTCTTATCTCTATCTATCTCTTATCTCTATCTATCTCTTATCTTTATCTCTTATCTCTATCTATCTCTTATCTTTATCTCTTATCTCTATCTATCTCTTATCTTTATCTCTTATCTCTACTCTCTACTCTCTATCTCTTATCTCTGCTGTTGTTCTATCATCGCACCGCCTGAAAGTTTGTGATACAGGTAAGTTACATAGAAGCCAGATAATAACAAGCTATCTAGCACCGTCTACAATATCATAGCTGCCAGCAGACAGTCCTTTGCTTTGTTTCTACTAGAAGCATTCTTAGTTGTTCGTATCGTAGTTATTCAAACGTGAGAACGAATGAGTATCATTCTTCCTACTAGAAGCATTCTTAGCAAAGGTTTCATGGAGCCGTTGTCGTTCATCCTCGAACTCAGGAATGTTCCTGGAGGATCAGGGTGCGCATGCTCACCGGGAAGATCCGGAAGGACCTTGTAGCGTTCCTCGAAGAGTCCAGCTTCGACAGGATGGTTGTCCTGCAGCTGTAGATGCAGCGCCTCAAACTGACTGTAGCGGCGGAAGACAATGTAGGATCGGCCATTGGATAGTGTCACCTCAACGTGATAGACCTGAGAGAGAGAGGTAGTAATACATTAACGTGAAATACCTCTAACGACAGAGAGAGAGAGAGAGAGAGAGAGAGAGAGAGAGAGAGAGAGAGAGAGAGAGAGAGAGAGAGAGAGAGAGAGAGAGAGAGAGAGAGAGAGAGAGAGAGAGAGAGAGAGAGAGAGAGAGAGAGAGAGAGAGAGAGAGAGAGAGAGAGAGAGAGAGAGAGAGAGAGAGAGAGAGAGCGAGCGAGCGAGCCAAGCGAGGGACAGTGAGAAGGGAGGATAAGACAGGGCGCCGGAGATGGAGAGGGACAGGGACGAGCCAGGACAGAACATAGAGGCAGTAGCATGGGAAAGGAGCGAGCTTGAGGCCGTTAGTTTCTGTGAAATCTGTTTTGCGCTCATCCTCCGCCTAATCCCATTTCCCTTCGACACGTCCAGTGGCTTGCCACCTACCACCACAGTGGCGGCCACTCTCATCGCCGGCACCCCCAAACCGTCTCGGGGCATGTACGCAGGCAGCTGCTGGCCACTACATACGTCATGAGGACACGTAGCACGGCAAACGCGAGACAGAGCACACGACGACGACGACGATCGCCGGCGACCATGTCTCCGCAGGCAGCCGACTGGCGCCACCTAGCACGCTCGCCGGCGTGCGGCGGAGCCGTGGCGCCCCCTCGGCTCCGTACGGCGAATGTAGTCCTCGCGCGTGATCCAGCGGAAGCTCGCGAGGCCCGCGAACGTAGCTGGCGCGACAACAGACGTCCGAGGCGACCGCGACATCGAGTTGGCGTGTTCACCGAGATGATGGCGGCGTGTTCCGGGAAGCGGCGCGCGCGAAGGTTGCCGACAGCAGCCGTGCGAGAACCGGCCGGTCCAGCTGGCGAGTTGGGCCGCCTGGCGGGGAGAAACGGACCGCGATTGAAGCGCGTCACGAGATTCGAAGTCGAAACATTTTATTTATAAACGTTATTAATACGACGGCGATCACTGAACAAAAAGTACATGTGAACTTGTGATAAGGCGCAGTTAAAGGCAGCGGCTATACGTATAATTAATATAATTACTTAACTAAGCTTGAGTTAACAATTGGCTCTTGGCTACATAAAGTGGGGACAATTACTAAGCAATGAGTTCGATACAAAATCGTTCGTTGTTCGAACGCGAATTACGATGGTAATCTACAGCCTACAATATCCTTAGTTGTTCACGAACGCACCTCGATGGTCAATCTAGCAGCCTACAATATTCCTTAAGTTGTTGCACGACCATTACGATGGTAATCTACAGGCGCTAAAATATCCTTAGTTGTTCAGAACCAATTTACGATGGTAGAATCCTACAGCTAAAATATCTTAGTTGTTCACGAACGGCAATTAGCGATGGTAATTCTACAGGCTAAAATACCTTAGTTGTTCACCTGACGAACCAATACGATGGTAAATTAATCTACAGCCTAAAATATCTTAGTTGTTCACCGAAAACTACGATGGTAATCTACAGCCTACAATATCCTTAGTTGTTCACGAACCAATTCGATGGTAATCTATCACTAAAATATCCTTAGTTGTTCAACGGAACCAATTACGAGTAATCTACAGCCTAAAATATCCTTAGTTGTTAAAAAAACCCCCCCCCACCCCCCCCCCAAAAAAAACACGAACGTCGAAACTACGATGGTAATCTACAGCCTAAAATATCTTAGTTGTTCGCGAACAACTACGATGGTATCTACAGCCTATAAATATCCTTAGTTGTTCGGAACAAGAACTACGATGGTAATCTACAGCTAAAATATCCTTAAGTTGTCTCACAAACCAACTACAATGGTAATCTCCAGCCTAAAATAATCCTTAGTTGTTCACGAAAAACTACGAAGTGGTAAATCTACAGCCTAAAATATTCCTAGTTGTTCGCCGAACCAACTACGATGGTAAATTGCCGGCCTAAAAATCATTCCTTAGTTGTTCGCGAACCAACACGATGGTAATCTACAGGCCTAAATATCCGTAGGTTGTTCACGAACCAACTACGATGGTAATCTGCAGCTAAAATATCCTTAGTTGTTCACGAACCAGACTACGAATGGTAAATCTACAGCCTAAAATATCCCTTAGTTGTTACTGAACGCAACTAACGAATGGTAATCTACAGCTTAAAATATCCTTAGTTGTTCACGGAAACCAACTACGAATGGTAATGCTATCAGCTAAAATATCCTTAGTTGTTTGTCAGCGGAACCAACTACGATGGTAATCTACAGTCTAAAACATCCTTCATTGTTCACAGACTAATCCTGACAGTAAACTACACACACTAAATCCCCTCTTATTGATCACACAACGTTCGCGATACAGTCTGCGAACAGCGACGGGCGAAGCTCAAGCGAACCGCATTTTTAGCACGTCAATTACAACCAACAGGTCCCGACGATTGCAATCCTGCAGCTGTAAAATCTGTCTTCGCTCTCTCGCGAAGGTCAAACGAAAGGATTTTACATGCAGTGCATGCAGTGGTGCTGGTGCCGACACAGAGGGCTCAATCAATAACCGTGGCAACGCCGCGACCGATAACGCAGTCGACGTGCGTAACGATCCGCAAATGCCTTCTGTATCATTGTCTTTCAAGACCACCATTAACGTCATCGTCATCATCATTATCATCAATCATTGAGGGGTGCACCGATCCAATCTTTTAAGTTCGGCGGCGGGAGCCAAGAACCAGCTGAACTTCTGAACTACCTGGCCGGAACCGCAAACTTAAGCTGGGAAATACACTTGACAGTTTTTAATTGGACCGTATTCGCGCAAACTCCTCCGGCCTGAACGAAAATATTATGTAGCAGCGAACACAGCTGCAGGCGAGTAGGACAATGCTCATTGTTCTACATGTTCTCATTATGTCTCATGTCTCATCTTCTCATTTCTCATGTCTCATGTTCTCTTATATATACATGTTCCATTTTCTATCATGTTCAACATTCTACATTGTTCTCATTGTTCTCAAATGCTACAAAGTTCTAATTACAGGGATGGTTGTTAGGTGTATGACTCATCTGTTTACAGTGACATAATTCTGGCATCCTATTCGGCGAGCGAATTGTGTGGGAAAACCTGGCATGTTGCAGTATCCCTGGTTTTAGGTCGATTATTTCACTACAGACAGATGCATTTTGTGGCTCTAAGAGATTTTATTTTAAAAGAAAAAATCTGCGTGAATCACCTAACATCAGTTGGTTCAGTCCGTTAGTTAGCCGAGTTAAAGTGGCAAACGTTTTCTGGGCAGAATAGTAGTGAAGTTGTTACACTATATTTGGTCAGCAAGTTTGACCTCTATTGATGGCTCAACACATTCAGTGACGATCTTTTGATCTTGATGAAGGTTGTAGGCAGAAATTAAATTAGGTAAAAGGTTCCGATTCCGGCCGACTGTTCCTGACGGGATTCCGGCGGAAACGGAACTTTGAAAAATTGGGGATCCGCCCGGATAGTTCTGGCATATCCAAAGTTCTGGTGCACCCTAATCTCATCATCATATCATTATCATCATCGGCCATCATCACCATCATTATCATCATCAGCAGCAGCAGCAGAGCATCATGATCACCAGCACCATGCAACACACAGCCACCACCATCGCTGATACTCCCGCCTCGCGTAATGACTATCATCATCATCATCATCATCATCACTCATCATCATCATCACATCATCGTTTCATCATCATCCTCATCATATACGCCATCATCTATCACCGTCATCATCCTCAATGGCAGATAATGATCATCGTTATAATCATCATCATCATCATCGTCATCGTCATCTTCCATCATCATCATCATCATCATACACGGCATCATTAATCACGTCATCATCCTCATGCGTCTGATCATTCATTGTAATCAATGATCATCATCGGCATCATCATCATCCTCAATGCAGTACGATCTCGTTGTAATCATCATCATCGTCATATCATCAACATCATGATCAACACGCATCATCATCATCATCATCATCATCATACACATCATTTATCCCGTCATCATCTCACGTAGTAGATCATCATTGTAATCAATCATAGTCATCTCATCATCCTCATCGGCAGTACGTCATCGTTGTAATCATCATCATCGTCATCATCATCGTCATCGTCAGGCATCATCATCATCATCATCATACACGCATCATTAATACCGTCATCATCCTCATGCAGTTACTTGATCATCGTTGTAACTCATCATCATCCAGCATCATCATCATCATCAATCAGCATCATCTCAATCATCATCATCACCATCATCATCATCATCATCATACACAATCATTATCTGTCCTCATCCTCATGCAGTACGATCATTCTTGTAATCAATCGTCCATCATCATCATCATCGTCAGCATCATCGCATCATCACCATCATCATCATCATCATCATCATTATCATCATCATCATCATACACAATAATTATCACGCGTCATGCATCCTCATGTAGTACGCTTATCGTTGTGGAAGAGAAAAGACAAAAAA